AAAGCCTGGGGTGGATTCACTGCCCCGCTGACCTGTGAGTTACCAGCCGCAAAGGCTTGCAACTCTCCTGCTTTCCCAGCCCTGGCTTCCCTTCTTCCTTCTTCCTTCTCCTTCTTCCCTCTTCGCTCTGGGCAGCAGCATCTCCTCCAGCATTTCTCTCTGGCTCTCCTCCTCTCCATGGATCCCATCTTTTCCCGTTCGCTTGTGAGCTGCAGCAGAGACACGATGTCTCCCGTTTCCGTGCCGAAGCACGTCTGAGGCATGTTATAAATAGTGAATGGTGAAGATGTCCTTAGGTTACCCCACAGAGCTCCCCTGAAACGTGCCACCTCCGTCCGTAGCATCACGCCTCTCCTCCGGGAAATTGGGTGCTGGTGGCTTTTGTGGTTTAACAGCCCTAGGAAAAATGCCTCTGACATGTGTGTGTGTGTGTGTGTATTTTGGAAGTTGTACTCCCAAGACATGCAGGTTGGGAATCAGTGCTGAATCTGGTGGGCATGCTCCATGAGGTCTTCATTCAATGCTCTTCATTGAAGGCTTTTAAACAGAGGTTGCAATACTGATGGATAGGCTGAGTCAAGGAAACCGTGGCTCCTGCCCTGACTTTGCAAGACCTGAGCAGGAGAGGTGCTGTCAGGGGGTCCTGGTAGTCTCCGATTCATAGGGCCACCCTCAATCACAGTCAGCTTGCTAGCGAATAACCACAGCAAAGTAGAAGGCTGCAGAGAAAAGGAGGAAGACCTCCCTATACAGGTGGAAAAGCTCAGAGACTGTGGATTCCCACACCGGCCGGGGGTTGGACTATATGGCCCCTGGGGGACCCTTCCATTTCTCTGTTTCTATATGGCGAGGCTCCCCAATGGCCCATCATCCACACAGCTAGCATTTGGGAGGAGAACTGGGCTGTGAACAGCTGGAGAGCTCCCCTTCTCCTTGTTCTCCATCCTTCTGATACGGAGGAGAGATGGACTGTTTTCATTTCTGTTGCAAGGAGAGAGTGATTATTTCTCTCTCGACATCTGCTCATAACAATGAGCATATGTCCGCGAGTTTAATGCAAATGTGAAGAGATAGATCGGTGTGCATTTGGAAAGGACTGCAACGTTTTCCCCATTTGCATCCAAATAAAAATGAGCATATGTAGGCATGTAGGTAGGAGTGTATACACACAAGTTTAATAATGCAAACCCTGGCCCTCTCCCTCCCTATTCCCTATTCTGGCTCATGTATTTTCCTTTCTTTTGGCCATTTTGCAAGCTTGCTCCACCAGCCCTCTGGCTTTTCTGCTCTCTCTTGGCCAAAATTGCAAAGCATTCTCCTGCTTTTTCCATTTCCAGCTTTCTGACTGAGGATTTGGAAGACCCACATACCTTTCTGTCTCATCTACTGGCGTGTCTTGCAAAACCCTCTTTCCAAAATGGCATTTCATCTCTAGAAAGGAGGAGGAAAAACTACATTGGGGTTTTTGTATTTTCTCTTCCGCCCCAGGAATTGGGGAGGGGGAAAAAGGGATTCACAAGACAGCTTTAATAGAACAGTTTGTTCCAGCCAAGGCTTTTGTTAGCTCTGGGAACTGAAGTAGGAGGGAAAAGTTGCAGCGAGGATGGATGAGAAGGTGCATCGGCATTTGGAACTGGGATGCTTCCCTGACAGTCGAGGTTCAGTGGAAAGAGGTCTCAGACTCAAAAGCGTGAGCAAAAGAGGCTTGGAGACGATTCTGCAAAAGGTGGTCTTCTTTTTTGGAAAAGCACAACATCACACAGAGTGGTTTTGAGCATTAGCCCAGAGGGCTTCGTCTTCCGTCTCCAACAGTGGCTCATGGTACCAAAGGATGCTAAATCCACTCTGGGTTTTAGGATGACTATTCTTCTCAAGAGTTACTGGAGTATTTTGGAAATCTATGTCTGGACAGCTGGCTAGGACAGTTTTCAGACCCTTCAGTCTGGGATTTTTCTGAGACAAGTGGCAAGCTTAGGGCTGCAGGTTGCATTACTGTTGGATAGGCTGAATTAAGGAAGCTATGGCTTCTGCCTTCACTTTGCAAGACCTGAGTAGGCAGTTTGTCCTCTGAACAAATCTTGCCAAGAGAACCCCATGATAGATTTGACTTAGGGTCACTGTAAGTCAGAAACAACTTGAAGACATAGAGCACAGATGAATACATCTGGTCCCCTGGATGCAGTTGGACTACACCTTCCAACCGCCCTGTTTGTAGCGATAGGATGGAGTATGCAAGCTCTTTGCTTGCTCCTAGGACCCTCCTTGTCTGATTTCTTCCCATCTCCTTGGGAAGCAAGGAGGAGAAGCCCTCTCTGCACCATGCTGCATGCGCTGGAATGTGAGCTGCGATGCATGTTTGCCTTTCCACTTTGCAAGACACGTGCCGTAGTGGAACAGCATTGATGCACATCCCCTCCAGGGACTGCACACTGGGGTCATCACCCCAAGGGACCATACTTATCCAGTGGGCTGTTTCCGCTAGTTTAAGCACCGGCGGGACAGCTGCCAGTTTGGGTCACGGGTGTGTGCCAAAACCAGGTCAAGCGATCCATTTATCGCTTCATTCAGCCTCCCATCGATGTGCTGGTTCTTGCACTATCCCAGGAAATAAATAAATATTTGCCAATCACAGCCATTTGCAAAGCTGAGGGTACGGTGTTTGCAAAATTGCACCGTTGCAGGTAAATCACACAAACACACACACAGAGAAAGAGCTGACGGAGCTGAATTTTAGGATATGGATCAGCCCTTCTCCATAATCCCACAGAAGGCATGTAGTGAGATCTTGTAGCACCTTTGAGACTAACTGAAAGAAAGAAGTTGGCAGCATGAGCTTTTCTAGACTTAAGTCTACTTCCTCAGATAACTTTTGGTGGAGTGGAAAGCCAGGGACAGACCTGGAGAGGAATATGCCATAAGTTTGTGAGAATGTCAATTCTCCCTTGGAGAGTGTGATTATTGGGGCTAAAATCAGCAAATAAAAGAGTCTCTCTTGGTAGAAAGGGATGCTTTATCCTTTGCCCTTTTTTTGCAGCAGGAAATCAGCAACAGGAGCGTAATGGAGAGCAAACTGGAAACCTAATGTCTCTCTCTGAGGAAGGAAAGCTGGGAATGAAATCTGGACGAGGGGAGAAAAATGGTTGGTTCTTAATTAGAATTAGGCCCAGACCTTGAGCCGTTGTGCTTAGAGATCTGAAGGGCAGATTATCGGTTTGCACACATTTAGTGCAATTGCTCCAGGCTTCTTGGTTGGGTCAGCATGCCCTCCAACATTTCAGAAGTGGGAACTGGGAGACATATGGCTAAGCATTTGCATTTGCAGAAGGAGAGCAAAGAAGGAGCCTTCTTAGGGAAGGAATTGCAAAGTCTGGGAGCAGCCACCAAGAAGGCCCTCTCTTACATTTGCACCAAACAAACCTAAGAAGGTAGTAGGATAAAAACAAAGGCCTCTCCTTAAAGACCTTATTGCTTGAGCAGGCTTGTAGAGGGTTGCAGGGTCCTTCAAACACAGCCAAGTTCAACAATTTTTAAAAACCCACAGATCAGGGCGGTAATGTGCATGAGAATCCCCGCCAAGCGAAAGCAGACGGCTTAGATCAGACTTTTTTTTTTTTAAATAGGACATTTTAATTAATCTGGAGAGTCACCGAGAATGAAGGCTTTCCCTTCATTTCAGAGGATGTAATTCATGTCCTAAGATGCCCAGATGTCGCCGTCCTTGTCTTACTGCCTTTTCTTTCCAGAAGCTGAACTTTTAAGATTCCTTCCCCTTTGCAATCTTTTTAATATCTCCGCGTCTCCCCCTTCTATTTGAGTCTTATCTGCATGCTAAAAATATCCCCGGGGGAAATCGGATCAGGGCACCGTCTGCCCCTGGGGTGACCCAGCCGTGAGGACTGCAGCATCCAGGGAGAAAGGAACAGATGCTCTTGGCTGGCCAGCGGTCTGAAGACTGGACCGCAACGTTAAACGGCGATTAGCGTCACATTATGGAGGCGTGCAGAAGCTTTGGGATGGGAGAGGCTGGCTGTTTGCTAAGCTGACCTTGTGCTGCAGAATGCATGGTTGCAATATAAATATTTGCTATATATATATATATACTTGAGAGCATTAGCAGCTGCAAATTGGCACTTTTCTCCCAGAAGAAAGAAGCAATGAGTGCATGTTGTTGTTGTTGTTGTTGTTGTTACTGGAGCCAACATGGCATAGTGGTTTGAATGTTGGACTATGACTCTGGAGACCAGGGTTCAATTCTCACCTCGGCCATGAAACCACTGGGTGACCCTGGCCAAGTCACACTCTCTCAGCTTCAAAGGAAGGCAATGGCAAACCTCCTATAAACAAATCTTGCCAAGAAAACCCCATGATAGGTTCACCTTAGGGTTGCCATAAGTTTGTTTCCAAGGCACACAGCAACCACAAACAAGAAGCCCATTGGATGGTCTTGGGCAAGTCACACTCTCTCAACCTCAGGGGGAGGTAATGACAGACCTCCCATTAACAAATCTTGCCAAGAAAACCCCATGATAGGTTTGCCTTAGGGTCACTATAAGTTGGTAACAGCTTGAAGGCACTCATCATCATCATCATCGTCATCATGATCCTCCTCCTCATCTATTGCTTTCCCTCCTGCGGTGGTCTGCAGCAAAGACTGACCCTCCAAGGAAGATCTGTGGCAAAGAGTCCAGTTTGTTGCTCTGCACAGCCATTGTGACTCCATCCTCCGGGAATAGGAGGTATCTGACGTATCTTTCTCTCTCTCTGCAACCCAGGTGTGTGAACGGAGGATGCCAGAGGCAGGCTCCCAGTGTGCCTCATCTCCTTTTCCTTGCAGTTCCTTTGTGAAACCGGTCTCTTGAAGGCCAATATCTGGCCATCGGCTCTCTCTGCATTCTCTGCTGTGCTTGCTCACCGGCTGAGTCATTTGAATGAAACACCAGCACCGAGCTGGAAATGTACCATGTGCATGCACATTTATTTTACAGAAGTTTCTTTTTGCAGCCAGCGTGGTGTAGTGGTTTGCATGCTGGACTATGACTCTGGAGAGCAAGGTTCAAGTCCCAGATTGGCCATGAAACTCCCTGGGTGCAAGCCACACTCTCTCAGCCTCAGGGGAAGGCAATGGCAAACCTCCTCTGAAGAAACCTGCCAAGAAAACCCCATCATAGGGTTGCCTTAGTGTTGCCATAAGTTGGAAATGACTTGAAGGCACACGGCAGCAACAAATAAATGAATAATAACAGCGGCAACAACCCTCCCCTACCATCTGATGCTTTGCAACTCTAGCACCCAGCTTCTTTCTTGGGAAGGCATTGAACAAAGCATTGAAAGGCTTGATGCTTTGCAAACCTTTCGCTATTTTGTTCACCCTCCTTTGGACAACATGCTCCATCTTGTCCACATCCTTCTTGAATTGTTGTACTGATAGCTTTTAGTCAGTATTGTTTTTCAGTATATTGTCAGCTGCTTTGAGTCTTGCTGTTGGGATAAAAGAGGGGTATAAGTGAATTAACAGCAGCAGCAACAACATTAATCCCCAGCACTACCATCTGCTGATGCTTTGCAACTCTAGCACCCAGTTTAATTCTCAGGAAGCCGGTGTTGCTCAGAGGGCAGGAGTCCAGGGCTGGCTGCCAGGCCACCTTCCTCTCATTTCTCTCCTTTGTTCCTCCTCCTCCTCCTCTGCTGTTTTCATCAGTCATTCTTCCATTATTCCAATGCTGCTGCTCCATTAAGCACAGATCACTCATCCTGACAAGGCCATGTAGCCAAAAACAATTGGCTCCGGTGCCGTGGTCTTGGAAAATCCCCACTCATCCCGAGACCCAGCTCTCCTGAGCATGGTTTAGGTACTTTAGAAAAGGCAGAGCCGGTGCATTTGCAAGCCGATGACCATTTGGTGGCCCACCTTTCTTCCATTCCTCCATTAGCAGGGGCAGATGCCGGCTCCCGTGTGCGCTCTGGGTTTTGGGCTGAACCTGAATCAAAGCTAAGCCTATTCCTCCTGAACTTTAACGGAGCTGTCCAAAGTCCTGAAGCTGCCTGAGAATTGCATTCAGCACCTTGGAGAGGGCTCCTACCTGAAGCTGTGGAGAGCTGGAAACACTGGCCTTGCTCAGTACAAACTTCTACAATACTTTTTGATTTCCTCCTTTCTATTTTGCAAGACAGCTCCCAGGCTCTTCCGCCCACCGGCCATACAGCCTTGTGGGGGTGGGGGATTCTGGGAGCTGTAACCCAAAAATAACTTCCCACAGTCTTCAGCTAGAACAGATGCCAGGGCTTGATCCATCCATGTGCACGCCTGTGTGCGTGTACGCACGTGTGTGCTTCTTTTTCTTAATTAAAAATGCACTTAATGACGAGTGTGTCGCCTTGGTAAGAAACAGGCCCTCTGCCCTGTGTAATATTTTCTACCGGGGAAATTTTGCACGGAAAGGCATGCAAACATTAAATGAATGCTGGGGTTTTTTTTTTGGGAGGGGGTAATTTTAGCTGGCTATTTTGGAGCTTTTGGCATGTTCTGCTCTGTGGGGGCTATTGTCTCCCAAAAGCCTTTCTTGCTCATCTCTTTGTTCCTCCGAATCCATCTTCAAGGTGTTGCACCAGGTCTCCCATGAGTAATGCTCTCCTTGATGCCGGCAACATTTTGGACCCCCTTTCCATCAACGGAGGGGGAATCTTCTGCTTCTTTCCTCCCCTGACAGTTACTTTTCCCCTCCCCATCCTCTTCTGAAGGCTTTCTTTGAACATCGTGTGGGTGAAAACTGGGATTTCAAGGCAGCGGCGGCGTGCGGAGAAAGTTTCATCGGTTGGCAACGGAGGATCGGTTGGGAGATGAGAGCTGACAGCTGATGCCGAGGAGACAGAGACAAATCTTAAGCCTGCCAAGTTTTGTGGCTCTTGTTTAATGCTGCCTCCTTTGCAAATTGCACAACTCTCTTAGCTTCGTGCAACCATGTGCATTCACAATCATGTGCACAAATGCATTGGCTGCAATGCATAAGGGTGCAACGGAAATGCCTGGGCAACTTGGTTTCTCTATCTTTGAACTGAATATGGCCGTTCTACTTCGAACAACAGAACCAGGGTGGCATAATGGTTTGTGTGTTGGACTAGGATTCAAGAGACCAGGGTTTGAATCCATGCTCGGCCGTGGAAACCCACTGGGTGGCCTTGGGCAAGTCACACTCTCTCAGCTTCAGAGGAAGGGAATGTTGTAGTGGTTCAGGTGTCGATATAGATATACCTCCAAAGAACACCGACACCACCTTGAGAAAAGCAAGCCTGTGACTAACGTCATCATAATTTGATATTTTTCCCCCTCTTGTATGATTCTTAACTCATTTTCCTGATGAAGAAGCCAGTGGAGCTTTGAAAGCTTGCATCATGTACTTTATGCTTTTTGGCTGGCCAACTAAAGGTATCCCTGTTTTGTGGATTTGGGATGCCATTGTACTTGGCTACACAGCTACCCCTGAATATGTTTCTTGGATAGAAAGGTTACCGGTCAGTTTAACCAATCAGGAAAATCTATCAGGCACCTATCTATCTACCCACCTATCTATCAGATATCAGATACAGCAGATAAATCAGAGAATCGAGCATTGCAACCGAGCATCATGTATCACAAGAGGCGGAAGCATGGAAGAGGCTGATGGTTTACAAGCCCCCAATTCCTACTTTGCAATTTTTACATAATAACCTCAGGAGCTGACGAATGAGTTTCGGGGAAGATCCCCCAGGCTTGGTTTGAGTCCTCCTCCTTTCTTTTTTGGAGAGAGAAGTGCAAGCATCAATCATGATTTGTTCTGGACCAAAAAAAGCAGCGTCTTTTTTTGGATTAAAAAAAGTGGAGAGATTGAGAGAGAGATGGAAGGGGGAAGGAGTTTTGTAGGGAGGCTGCCCAACTGTCCTCTTAACTTTGGTTGCGTCCACACTGCAGAAATAATCCAGTTTGACATCGCTTTAACTGCCATGGCTCAATGCTATGGGATTCTGGGAACTGTAGTTTTGTGAGACGTTTTGCCTTCTCTGTCAGAGAGCTCTGGTGCCACAGCAAACTAAAGCTCCCATAATTCCATAGCACTGAGCACTGAGTTAAAGTGGTGCCAAAGTGGATTATTTCTCCAGTGCGGATGCAGCCCTTGTCAATATCCTGGCCTGGGTCCCAGCTCAACAACATCAGACTTTAGCTTGTTGTCTGTTTCTACAGCATTTATTTCTAGTTATAGTTGCAATTTTTCAACAATATAGAATAATTTTAGCAGTTTTCTTCCCATTGCGAGAAGGTCTTTGAAAACCATGTGGTTTTTAAAGCCTGTTTGCAATTCAGGACTTTTTCTGTGCAAAATTCGCACATGGTTTTGGGGCAGAAAACAGGCTTTTTCAACTCAGGAAGCAACCTTTTCCACGCAAAAAATAATATGTCTATGCAGAAATATTTTCTGCACAGAAAAAAAACAACAGCAGCTCCCTACAAAGAAAAAGCTGTTTTCTGTCCAAATTCACCCTGCACGAATTTTGTACAGAATAAGTCCCAAATTTCAATATATTTTTTTTGCAAAGGAAACAGGTTTATTTTTCTATTTTTCTTGTGCACAAGATAACATTATTGCATATAAATATCATTTTCACTGTAGAAAAGGCTGTTTCTTGCACAGAAAAGATTGTTTGATGCGCAAAACAAACATCTGCGAATTTTGCAAAATAAGTCCCAAACTTTTCTGAATATTTTCAAAATGTTCTTTCCGCCCCACTTTCAAACCTTCTTTAGAATCTATTGGTTGCACCTTTGCAAAAACTGTCTGTGGGTTTCTCTTTGGCTTCATCTGCGCTGCAGAAAGAATCCAGTTTGGCACCACTTTAGTTGACATGTCTCCATGCTATGGAATCCTGGGATTTGTAGTTTGTCGTGGCTCCAGACAAACTACAAATACTCCAGTGGCATTTATGCAAAGGTTAGCTTTCCAGGGATGGAGATCTTTTTGTACTCGGGTAATAACAGGAGTAATCTGCCTACCCATTTTGGATAATAATTCCCAGAATCACGTTGAATGAATATTACATTGTCCGACAGGCTTGTATTTCAGGGGAGAAGAAAATACACAAACAATTCCAGATAATAAACTCTTATCCCTTGTTAATGAATCGACGCCTTGTGTTCTGTTTTCAGATAAAGGTCTATAATTTAGCATTTAAGAGATTAATTTCCCAAGGTGTGTATATGGATTTTTGCCTCCTCCTTTCTCTCTTTCTCTCTCCCCCTTTCCACTCCCTGCATATCCCAAATATCCCAGATGTGTAGAACTTATTTGAATTCCATGGTATTATACTGAGTATTTTGAAACTCAAAAGGGATTTCGGAAAGGATCTGATAAGCATGTTTTTGCAAAAGCCGAAATGCCTTATCTAGATCACACAGAGAACCCAATCTGTACTTTAAAGCTAGTGATAGGCAGCTCTGGGTTTTTTAATTTTCTGGGGAGGTGGAATAAACCGAACATCAGCTTATTATTTATTTGTCAAAGCGACGCAGCAAAAAGTTCAATGCCCTGAGCTTATGTTTTGCTCAAGTACAAACTGAGCAGGGATGCTGTGATTGTCAAGTCCCAACTCTAATAAAATGCAGCGAGATTTTGTCTGATGGCCTTTGCTGGTTATAAATAATAATAATAATAATAATAATAATAATAATAATAATAATACTTTATTTATACCCCGCCTTTAGCCGAGGCTGTCAAGGCGGCTTACAAGTTATCCTTCTCCTCTTTCTTTCCCAGTCATCTGCAGCAGGATCATGAATCCATGACTTTCAATGAAGTTGTAGCACTAGGCATTACTCCCTATGAATGTGCCTTCAAGTCATGCATTGGTTTATGGTGGCCCCATGGATTTCATAGGCTTTACTTAGGCCAGGAAGACCCAGAGGCGGTTCTGCCAGTTCCTTTCTCTGAAACAGAGCCTTACGGCACCTGGGATTAGTTGGTGGCTTCCCACCCAAGTCCTAACCAGGGCTAGCCCTACTTAGCTTCCAGGATCTGACAGGATCTGGGGCTTTTGGGTATTTAGTGGCTAATCATGGAGACAGAAACTCCATAGAGGTGATAATGAAGAGTTGGAGGGCCCCACTTGAGAGAAGATGGCTGCCCTAGGAGTTCAGTGTCTTCTTGCAGATCCCTCTAGAGCAGGGGTAGGCAACCTTTCCCCTTTAAGGGCCAAGGGA